AAAATTAGATTATTGAATGGCAGAGTATTCTCTGAACCCTATGGGTCCTGTTCTATCACCAGCTAGTACTTTCAGGCTATATTATTTTTATTTGCAGCATACACATTACCTTGTGAACAGGCCAGAAGACACTCTGGTTTTCAATGAACTGCCTATCTGATTTTACAATATTTAACAYAAGTCACTTGGAGGAAGAATTCATTAATAATTATCATATTCATGTAATGATGATTAAAAAAATTTGAGTAAATACTAACTCCTGCCTTATTGATTGTAATGGGCTGTAATGTTATTTAAATTTGTTTTATAAAAATGTATTATAAATGATATAGTTAGAATAATTCATCACACTTATAAACGTATTTCAATACGAGAAGCCCAATTTTATTTCCATAGTTAGCCACATTTCTTAGCCTGGTTTTGGCACTATTTGACAAAATATATTCTAAAGGCAAACCACCTAAACAGAAAAGACAGTTTGGAATTTGGGGAAGAGCTGTCTCCTGCTATTTTTCTTTCGTTTTCCTCTCATGAAAAGAACTGCATGCTTAGAGCATTGCAACCATTAAGACTACACTCTGATAAGTGAATGGAATAAAACACAGCAGAAYAAATGCCGAAAATTGGCAATGCTGATGTTACCTTTTGAAAGCTGAGGAGGAATTTTCATTATAAAAATTGTTTGAATTTTTTTTTCCATTTTCCTTCCTCTCTACCATCTTTTCTAAATACTTCTATCAACTTTCATTTGAAAAAAGATGAATGAGGACGTCAGTAAAGAAAAAAAAATTCTGTAGTTAGAAAAGAAATAGATTATTGCTTTTAGCCTCGTTTTTCTTGAATTCTGGTTGCAAGTAAACCAGGATTATTTACATCCTTGCTATTTCACTTTTAATTCAATAAAGTTTTTCAATTAATGTTATTTTTTTACTCTAATTACAAATAAGCAATAGAAGGTTTTAACAAAATGTTCTGGAAAATAACATCCATCCATTAAATCGTTAAAGAAATTTGGAACAAGCAGTTTGTCATACTTCTGGCAAGCTTACTAATGATTGGTTTCCTGTATATTAAGCTGTTATAAAGATAATAGCAAACTAAAAATCTTCTCTTCATGTACAAATTAATTACATTCATATGCAATTCACATAATTGTGACTCACTTTGCATTTTGATGCTTTAGGAAATTTATATGGAGTTCATGGGTGTATCTTCTCCTTCTTAACATTCAAGGTCTTCATTTCTCTTACATGAATGTAGTGTGAACCTGGAGTCCATAGCAGCCAGCTGCCATAAACATGCAGTGACTTGGCAGAAAGATAGAAGGTTAACTCATAGTTTTTATGATTGCCTAAAAKTTTAAGAGATTTACTTTTTTGTGTTTTTTTTTTAAACACAAATTTCCTGTTTAAAAACCTAGAAAGAAAGGGCCCTTTGTTGAATACTGGTATGCTTTCCAAGAGAGATTTCTGATTTTCCCAGAGTGCTGATGTTTTTGATCGGGTTCTGAAGTTGGGAAGAAGGAACATGGGATTTTAGACACTATTTCCACTGTGTTTTCTCCTTCCAATATAAATGGTGGTAGAGAATCACTTTTCAAGGTGTTGAATTTTTAAAATATTTATACAATTTTTAGAACTGGAGTCTAAAATCCTGAATTTTCTGTGTTATTCAGGTAATTATGTCATCCTTTCAAAACAAGAGAGAAAATAAAACTGCCTGGATTATTTCTACAAAACAATACATTTGCCTTCAGATTTGACTGTTCTGTCACTAATAAAAATAGTAGCATGGAAACTCAAGAAATCAGGCTCTAAATAATTAAGATGAGGTCTATTAAACTCACATGATTTTAGATTTAGGAGAAAGGTTATAGACTCTTCTTTCCTATGGGTTTTCAAGTATCTAATTAGTTCTCTGTTCATTTTCTAATTAGAAGCAAAAGGGTACAATTCTTTTGGGCAGAGAAGTTTCTTTAGCTGGGATCAAGTCATTAATAATATAACTTTAAAGGATATTGTGCCTTTGGTCAAAATTTAGTGTAAAAGTTTGAGATATGTCCACTTGATGACAAAAAAACAAAAAAACAAAAAACAAACAAACAAACAAAACCAAGAATTCTATGTCACAAGCATTTATACACATACACTGACCTCGATAGAAGGCATACTTGTCTAGTCATTAGAATTTTCCAAGCAAAGGTGGAAAGAGTATGGATTCAGTGACAAAAATAAGAATTTCTTCTGGGGATGGGGATGCAGCTGAGTGGTCGAGAGCTTATGTAGCATTCACAAGGCACTCAGTTTCCAGCAGTGCAAAGGACGACGGCAGAAACTGCTCYTAAGTGTACTTTGCCTGTCTACACTTGATGCGAACCAGAAGGGAAGACTCTTATTTAATTTTGTCTACCTCTGACAGCTGCCAACTTAATTTGGCGTGTTTACTTTCACAAAGGAAAGGGTTCCAGCTTAGGGACAGGTCAACATTTTCCTTAATTAACATCATTTTTTTCTTCTCAAAAATCTATCCTGAAGTTCAGYTTTGGCATCTTATTCTTCACTAAATACATGTTAAGATTCTGTGTGAGTTAAAATAATGTAATGGCTTTGCCATCCAACAGACARAAGTGTGATTCCCACCTTTATCACTTGCTGGCCCTGCTGCTGTAATTCATTTAACCTCACTAAACCTAATTTCCACTTTGGTTCTACAAACTCTGAATAATACTTTACATGATTGGATTGTCTGGAGATCTACAAAAGTATATTTGTATAATCCCCAGTGTCACCTAAGCCCCAGTAGGGTCATCTGTACCATTTGCTGACAGTTCATTAGATCATTTTCCTATATGGGCCAGTCATCAAGACTGCGACTTTCCCACTTTATGTGTCACTATAGGAATTCTTATAGGACTACAAGCTGAGGGATTTATTCATGACTAAGCTTTAATGCAACTGGTAATGATACTTGTTAGGCTACCTAAGTATTGGTACAGACTTGGCCTTGGACTTGGTGTCCTGTTTCACTATTGTGCTAAGGTCGTCTGTGTTCTACTCTGTGGCCTCCTGTACTCCTCTACTGATACCCAGATAAATGGTATGCTCTTCCTGGATTGAGAGCTCTTAGTGGGGAACACCCAGAACCAAGAGAAGAGAGCCTGTGTCAAAGGGGGTCAGCTTTGCCTTACACCTTGGATGACTCTTTCCCAGTGGACAGGATCATCTATCAGACTCAATGTAGTCTCACATTAGATCCATTCCTGAAGTCTCTAGACACATAGTTCAAGGTACAGAGTCTAGACCATTCTGACCTAGACTAAGCCATATTTAGACTTTGTGGCATGTTTTGAGCCATCTCTTAGGGACCTATTTTCTTACCCTGTTCCTGGCCTCCACTGCCCTACCACAAAGCTCCAATGATGAAAAGTTTTTAACTATTTCAAATGAATTCCTGTTACACAGAGCATCAGAAATTGTAGCTGGCCATTTGCTTTTGAGCAAGGATGTGTCTTCATCAGTGTCAGAATCCTTCTTGATCCTCATAGTACTCTGAAGAGTGGTGGGGAGGGGCAGGGAATAGAGAAGGTCCATATCTATCTGAGTCTCTATTTTTATTCAACAGGCACTTGATCCAAATTTTATATGTAAACCTCCTGGTTACATAGGAAGTATTTGACATATTACTTAACATTGTTTTCTTTCTTTTTTTTTCTTTTTTTTGCCCTGCATGCACAGTAAGTAGAACTCTACCTTCCAAATCTGTAATTTCACTTAGCAACCCTCTTACCTAGAACCCTATTAAGATGCTGAAGATCAGGAAAACATTGCACTTATGAATTAAATACAYTCAGACAATGAGTATTCCCATTTTAAAGAGGATTCCTGGATACCAAAATCTTTAACTCCAAAGAACACTCATTCAAAAAACAAAATTTCATGATCAAATTTATTATATGCATTTACATTTTTGCTATAGTTCATTTTTTTTGTTTCTTTAAAAGGAGCTTCTCCCCAGCATCTCTTATGTCACAGCACACAATAGTATCTATCTCCTCCACCTCCAAATAGTGTTGGAATAAGAAATTATATTAATAGAAGAAACATGGAAATGAGATTAACTTAGATGATAAAGTCAGATTGGATGGTAAGAGTCAGACCAAATATTAATGTCTCTCAGTGTCTTACTTGTTGACTTTTTTTTTTCCTATGAGCAACTAAGAAGACATCCCTTTTCAATCACTCTCCTCCTACTGAGGTTTACTAGATAATGATGGTTGGTTCCTACCCATCTCTGGAATTTCATATTGCATTTGTCCTTCACATGCATACCAATCTCTGACATACTGACCTACATACAAATTTTCCATACAAGTTATCAAACTTTAAGAATTTTGCATGTGGTTGCAGGGAATCCCCTTATTCAATTCTGTTGTTCCTGCAAAATTTCGTATCTAAAAGGAGTGACCCTAATGAGATCTGGAAGCATATATAAATATTACTAATGTTGTTAAAGCTATCGTCAATCTGGAAAAAACATTTTGAAAATCTTATCTTTATATTTAGATTTTATGGTTTTATGGCATGTATATATAGTTGACCTTTCACACTTACAGGTTCAGAATCTACAGACTCAACCATAAAATATGTGAAAAAAATTGCTTTTGTACTGAAACATGTACTAATAACTTTTCTTTTTTGTCATTATTCCCAAAATAACACAGTATAATAATCACTTATATACTATCTATATTGTATTAGAAATTATAGTAATCTAGAGATGATTTAAAGCATATGGGAAGATGTTCATACAATATAAGAAGAGACATTTTATAAAAGAGACTTGAGTCCAGAGAAGAGGAGATTAAACCAGCCCAGGAGGATCAGGGATGAGCAGGTTTAGGAGGCTTCAGGCCTAAGGTGGAAGTTAAATTGAACAGATTAGGGAGGCTGGAGACCTAGGTGGGGCCTAAGTAGATCTTGGCTTCCTGTATAAAGCCTCACCTCTCCTCTCCCTCTGGCAACAGTCTTCTCCAGCTCTTCCAATGGTGTCTTGCTCCCGAGACATCTTGCTCTTGAGACATCTTGTCCCTGACGACTGCGCCTTGCTCCTGACAACTACTTCCTTCCCAGACCATGGCTCCTTGGCCTGAGTTGGAAAATRCCCAGCCCAACTCCAATAAATACATCGAAGGGGCCACGAGTCATCAGTCCACACCAGCCAAAGGCAAGGAGACTGGCAAAAATGACAGCAGTGATCCTGCAGCCAAAATTGAACTTCTGCCCTCGTACTCCACTGCGACTCTGATAGAGGAGCCCACTGATGTGGAAGACCCCTGGGACCTGCCCGCACTCCAGGATACTGGGATCAAGTGGTCAGAGAGAGACATCAAAGGGAAGCTCTTATGTGTCTTCCAAGGGATTGGAAAATTCAYTCGGCTCCTGGGGTTCCTCTACTTGTTCATTTGCTCCTTGGATGTCCTCAGCAGCACCTTCCAGCTGGTTGGAGGAAAAGTGGTCGGGCAGTTCTTCAGCAACAACTCCATCATGTCCAATCCCCTGGCGGGACTGGTGATCGGGATGCTGGTGACCGTCATGGTGCAGAGCTCCAGCACCTCCTTATCCATCATCGTCAGCATGGTGGCCTCCTCATTGCTGACCATGCGGGCAGCCATCCCCATCATCATGGGGGCCAACATTGGGACCTTCATCACCAACACCATCTGTGGYGCTCATGCAGGCCGGAGACCGCAGTGAGTTCAGGAGGGCTTTTGCAGGGGCCACCGTCCATGACTTCTTCAACTGGCTGTCTGTACTGGTGCTCTTGCCCCTGGAGGCTGCCACCCACTACTTGAAGATTCTGACCAACCTGGTGGTGGACACCTTCCACTTCCAGAATGGAGAAGATGCCCCAGCACTTCTGAAAGTCATCATAGATCCCTTCACAAAGCCCATCATTCAGCTGGATAAAAAAGTCATCCACCAAATTGCAATGAATGACGAATCGGCCCAAAACAAGAGTCTGATCAAGATTTGGTGCAAAACTTTTACAAATAGGACTCAGATGAATGTCGCACTTCCCCTTCCCTCTGTTGGATGGACGGCATCTATACCTGGACCATAAGAAYGTGACCTACAAGGAGAACATTGCCAAGTGCCAGCACATCTTTGTGAATTTTAATCTCCTGGATMTGGCTGTGGGCATCATCCTGCTGATTGTCTCCCTGATGGTCCTCTGTGGCTGCCTGATCATGATCGTCAAGCTCCTGGGCTCTGTGCTCAAGGGACAGGTTGCGGTTGTCATCAAGAAAACCATCAACACTGATTTCCCCTTTCCCTTTGACCAGCTACCTAGCCATCCTCGTCGGAGTGGGCATGACCTTCATCGTGCAGAGCAGCTCAGTGTTCACGTCTGCCATGACCCCTCTGATCGGTCGGTATCGGTGTGATAACCRTTGAGAGGGCTTATCTGCTCACTCTGGGCTCCAACATCGGCACCACCACCACCGCCATCCTGGCCACCTTATCCAGCCGGGGCAACACTCTCAAGAGTTCTCTCCAGATCTCYCTGTGCCACTTTTTCTTCAACATCTCTGGCATTTTGCTGTGGTACCCAATCCCATTCACCCGCCTGCCGATCCGCCTGGCCAAGGGGCTGGGCAACATCTCCGCCAAGTACCGCTGGTTTGCCGTGTTCTACCTGATCTTCTTCTTCCTGACCCCGCTGACRGTGTTCGGCCTCTCGCTGGCCGGCTGGCCTGTGTTGGTGGGTGTGGGGGTGCCCATCATCCTCCTGCTGCTGCTGGTGGTCTGCCTCCAGCTCCTGCAGTCCTGCTGCCCACGCGTCCTGCCCATCAAGCTCCACAATTGGAACTTCCTGCCCCTGTGGATGCACTCCCTGAAGCCCTGGGACAACCTCATCACCTTGGCCACCAGCTTCTGCCAGCAGCGCTGCTGTTGCTGCTGCCGGGTGTGCTGCCTGATGTGCGGCTGCGGCAAGTGCTGCCACTGCAGCAAGTGTGGCGAGGACCTGGAGGAGGTGCAGGAGGTGCAGGGTGTCCCCATGAAGGCCCCCAAGGCCTTCGAAAATGCCGCCATGAACAGAGAAGACCAAGATGAGGTCAAGGCCCACGCTGATGTCCCAGGCACCAAGGCCATCTGCAATAGCACGGCCTTCTAGGACTACCCAGAGGTTGGGGGGAACCTCAGGTGCCGAGTGCTCCACCCTCCCTGCCTTCSCATGCTTTCCGCTGCCTCACAGGGATTTGTCCCTAGTGGGGAGCTTGACGTCAGGCCTAGCTTTTCTTCTCTTACTCAGACTGTCAGCTTCTGTGCCCTAGACCCCCCCTCACAGAAGGCACAGTGCATCACCAAGGGAGATGAGGACAACCAAGCTGGCCAGGAGGTGGCCACAGCCACTCCTGCACACAGGTGAAATAGGATGTTCTCAGACTGAACCTGCTTTTCAGAAAGAACCGCCAGCTCCTCCAGGAGGGATTTATGGAAGGTTCTGGAAGGTACCCATGTAAGGGTGTGTATATACACATGTACAAAGCTGTTCTCCATTGTGATAAAGCCTAAGGGCCTCCTTCTTAGCAAAGACTGACTTCCCCCAAGAGTTCTTGCTCACAGGCCTCCCTGCCCCAGAGATGCCCTGTTGAGGGCAAATAGCAATTGTTTGGAGACTTGGACAAGAGAATGGGAGGTGGGTTTCCCACTTCTCAATGCTCCCCACTCTGTCAGGAGTTCTCTACCTAGGCAGGTGTGGGTGGCCCAAAGTTAACCTGCAGTGTCTTTGTCCTCAAATTTTCAGGACGGGAGCCAGGCCTGAGCTACAGAGAGGGTTAGGATACATTTGGTGCACACACACAGATTGGTTGTTGATTGATTCTGATCCTGTGCTGGGCTGATGGAGGATAAGAACAGGGAGATGGGGAGATGTTGATTGGCCAGAGGACCTYAGGCTAATTAGAAGTCAAATTGATTGACAACCATTGAGGCTACATTGATGCCACTTCCTTGGCCAGATAGAAATAGTTCCTGTTGGAGCCCTTGAAACAGAATAGGCAAGTCCATTAGTCTCACTCCCTCCACTGCTGTCATCTCTAGGGCCAGGAATTACCTGCTCCTGGGACAGGTCTGTTTGCCTCCAGTTCCTCTTTTGTGTAAGATGACTTCTGGGCCAGTGGTCAACTTCCATCCATGTTCACACCCACACATACATGCACTGGAGTCTCTGTTCAAACATTTCCACCCTCTCCGTGCCTGTGAGTCTCTAGACTTTTCCAGGAAGATAACCAGGTGCAGCTAGATTGCCCTGGGAACCATGATTACATGTGGCTGAGGGCTAAGGGGTGGCTCCATGTCCCAGGTGCCTCCTCTCTGCCTTCCAGAGCCCCTTTTCATTTATACCATTGCTGCTCACCTCATCTGTTGTAATTCTTCCTTGGAAGGTGAGCTTCAGGCTTATATGAGAGCAAAGTATCAGTGCAGTTCTGCCGTCCTCCCCCATCCAGGCATCTCCATCTTGTCAGGTTGGGATACCAAGCTGAGCCCTCTCTGACCTTCCCCCTGTAGATACTAATTCCCAAGAGCCATTTATACTCTGTATTTATAGTCACGAATCTGTACAGCATTTTTCATAAGTTATATAGTAAATAGTCTGATTTGTGTTTTATAGTGTCTCATTTGGAAATGAGACAGGGTTCTAAGATGTAAAGCACAAAAGACCACCTTTGTATATTTTGTAATACCACCTTCTAACYTCCCTTGGCCATGCCACCCTGCATGCTGTAAATATGTAAGTTAACCTGGGCAATGGCCATGGCTATCCTTGCACTCTGATTTTTAAAAATGGAATTCTTGTACCTGAGTTGATTGTATTTTTTTAAAACTGGTTATGGGAAGGAAAAAATAAAAATGATCACCACCCCCCCCAAAAAAAAGAGACTTGAGCATCCCTAGCTATTGGTATCTATAGAGGGCCTGGAAACAGTCCCCTATAGATGTTATATGTGTGAACTCTTGAGTGTATATAGATAGATAGATAGATAGATAGATAGATAAAAAGATAAATATGTTTATAAATATATAGTTTGTATATGTGCATAATACATATGCATATATTATCATATAAATTTATTATAAAAACTATATGTATTTGGATATATGTGTATACATGTGGAGGTGTATATATGTGTATGCATTCCTATATGTGTATATGGATATGTATATATAGTATATATAAGACTAAATATAGACATATATAATATATAGATATATACAAAATGTCTATAACAGTTTATACAGAGAAGAGTGAGTACAGATATGTGTCTGTATACACGTATATCTGTATACATAGATATAGTTATGCATATGAATGCATATGTAGTCATGTAATCTGAATASTATTTCCAAGGCTCTTTTACCAGTAGTTCTCCAGTGAGAGAAATTTTGTCTCCTAGCAGGTATTTTTGTAAGATCTGAAAATATGGATTTGTCACCACAAGGTGGATGAGTTGCTTGGGAAATGCCAGGGATGCAGCTAAACATAATACAATGCACAAGGCAGCCCTCAAAACAAAAATTTTCTAATTCCAAATGTCAATCAGGATGAGATTAAGAAACCCTGATTTACATGGTTCTTTACAAATACTAGCGACAATAGAATACCCTCTTCTGTACCCTGATTAGCCACAGATAGACTAGTATCCCAGTACATATATGGTTTTAAACTAATTCCCCTGCAGGTGAAAATTGCTCACATCAACTAAGGCTATTAGTTCAACATCACCTGGGAAGGATAGTTGCTGATTATCTGGTGTTTGGAACTCACTTCATATACATGGAAAGAAGTCCGCAATGGTTTCTGTTGCTCTACAATTGAAGAGACCACCTCAGGGATAGGAATTAATCATCAAGAAGGTGCAATTGTGCTGTTCACTGCCTCATGMATTGTACTATCTTAATTATGACTTCTTTCTTTTGACAATAAGGTTAAAATTATTATGCAAGTTCAGCTGAGAACATATTTGTTCCTCGTTCTAGAGAGCCTTTAACAATTACTTG